TATTCATATCATTATTGCCGCTATACTTAAAAACCGTCCACACTCCCCAAATACATGAGTATATTTTCGTTGTGTTTTGGCAATCGCTGTATTTCAAATCTTGTATACGACGTACGTACATTTTGTGTTAAATAATTATTTTGTGTAAGGTACATAATAGCTTAAGAATTGATGACAACCCTGCTTTTTGGTAACTGAGCTCATTTTCTGGTAAATTACCTATTAGATTGCGTACACCAGTACCCTTAGTACGAGTTTGAGCTCACGAAAACTATCATAGTTTTCGTAATTGTAAATTATGTTTCTATGTCCATTTTGGTGAAAAGTAACCAAATATACTAAAAATTTAAGAAGACGCAACTGATTTAATGGTAGAATTTAAACACTGTTTGTTTGTGTTCAAACGTAAACAATAAAATTGACGAGTGCGAGCTCACGAAAACTATCATAGTTTTCGTAATTGTAAAACTCGTACTAAGGGTACAGCTGTGATTTGGGTTGGACTAGATATTTTGTGTACTGACAGAGGCTGGAGGGCATAAAACGGCCCCACCCGCGTTTAGTCGTAAAGTTAATTCGTGGAATAAACGAACAGATGTTATTTTATTAACTATTTTTCCCTTATTAATAAACCTGAGTAAGCTAAGATTAGTTACGCCGTGTTTTGTTCCTTACCCTGAGAACGAACCAAATTGAATTCGATCTGTATACGCGTCCAATATTAACAAGTTTTGTATGCAAAATTTGAACAGCGCCACAACAACCTTTCATACAAAACTTCTTGACAGTTGACGCGTATCGAGATTATCTGAGGTAAAGTTTAGCTATTTATATTATCGAATAAAAGTTATCAAATTCAGTCGGTATTTGATAAACAATGTGATCTCGAGATTGAAGGGCACTGATCACTTATCACTGAAACAAGAAACTGGAACTGAGATAAAAAATGGACAAAATTATCCAGTATAGTGTTAACATAACCATTACCTCAGCATGCATTACAGTCTTAAATATTGTTTGCACAATGCATATGTTTATAATAATAAAGTAGTAATGTATATATCAATCTGAACATTTTTTTTCTATATTATATCGTACTAGCGGCCCGCCCTCGCTACGCTTCGGTGTAGAGCTAAAGTGTAGACTACAGTTTTTGTTCTCAGGCTTGTATTATACACAATGACATTCATCTATGATTCTTCTTTTACCTGCATGCAAAGTCTCAGCCCGTTCGGTTTAAAATTGACAAAGTTTCATACAAACTTTCATTCCCTATTTTATCCCCATGGGGGTAGAATTGATCTAAATCCTTTCTTAGCGGATGCCGACGTCAGAACATCTACCTGCATGCCAAATTTCAGCCCGATCCGTCCAGTGGTTTGGGCTTTGCGTTGATAGATCACTATGTCAGTCAGTCAGTCACCTTTGAGTTTTATATATATAGATATAGTTTATTGTTTGTTTTATTTATTCCTTTTATTTCTAACGATCTTTTTTTCGAATTTATCAATTGGTTAACTAATATGCGTGTAACAAACAGCCTTGCTATTATTTTGGAGATGAGCGTTCGAGGTTACCTCGTTTGTACTGAGTTGGCACGCTCCAAGGAAATAAAATAATTGCCACTAATCGCCTATGATTTGCTATGCTAATTGTATGTTGTTGTGTTCCCGAATATACTACTGTATTGCTGCATGCGGCCTTGGACCACAATTATGGGTACCTAGTTCAGAGCATAGATTAATCAAACAATCAGTCGAAAAAGTGATTGCAAGAATCGATTTAGAAATGGTGCCAGCCTAACAAAATGTTTTAGCACTGTTATTATCTGTGAGTCAATATACATAACCATGCTCTTTATCGGAAATAAAAAAAAACGGGTGCGTGTACTTATATAGGCGCGTGAGAAGTTATCCTTCTTTGGCATCGTTTAAAATTAGTTTTTAATTGCATGCAAATAATTAATTACAATAAATTAATAAAAAGTCTGGAAAAGGACACAGTCAATAAAGTTCAGTTTTAATTTGAAAAAATAAATAAATAATCAAAATGAATGAATTAAAATCGCTACTGAATATAATTTATTAGAACATATGTGATTTCCACTTGTATGAAACTCAAACACGTATTCCGAATATACAAACTAGAAACATGTGGATAAATATTATAAATATGAATACCTATAACTGTTACTTTATTACAAAAAATAAAGATGTGGTTTTTGGTTCTACTACACCAATGGTCAAGAGATGGCGCTGTAGTCTCCTGAATCGCGCTTTGGTTCCGTTGTTCCAGATTAATAAATACTTTTGATAGGCCTTCACAATGCAGTCGTTAGCACCCACTAAATAGAGATTCTATTTCTATTTTGTTGGTAGATTTTCTTAATGTGCGGTAAACACAAAAGTAACGCATGAAGTTGGTCGCTAAAGCGACCAACTTCATCCTGTTAAAATTTTGTGTTACAGTGATGCGCGCGCATCTTAAAATTTCACTCTCATAATTTTTTCATAACGCGCCTAAAGAAGTATAACTTCAAAAAATTACAAGTATTTTTTAAATAAATAAAACATTAATATCTTTTTTGGTTACAATTGCCTTAATTAATAAAATTAAATAACATTTCCTAAAATTAGTTAGCTAATGTTTACAATACAACAAGATGTTTCTATATTATTTTGTCACCCGGAAGTTTTAAATGGTATAGATATGTAAATGAGATAAAACAAACAAGATTTCATAAGCATTAAGTAAAATTTTTAGATAAAAAAAATAAAAAAGTGTTTGGGCTCGTCCGGGATTTGAACCCGGGACCTCTCGCACCCTAAGCGAAAATCATACCCCTAGACCAACGAGCCGGTTGAGAGATTGACGAAATCGTGCATACAGTTACGCGAATCGTGTGGAGTGGTGACGTAACAGCTGCCGCGGCCGCGTGGGCAATTTAATGAAATGTGTTACAGTTCATAGACAAATAAACAAACCGAGCTGGTTAACGGTGCTGTAATAATTATACACACAATGTTAATGCTACCGTTATACGAGACTATTAACACCTTATTCTGTTTTGTTTTAATTTAGACTAGCGGCCGCCCGCGACTTCGTACGCTTGGAGTTAGTTATTCGTTGTTACAGAATGCTTTGAAGAAATAAAGGTTCACTGCTCGTTCCCCGTAGGTGATAGCGTGATAATATGTAGCCTATATGTTGACCCGACATCTTAATAATATTCGTGCCAAATTTGAAGTAAATTCATGCAGTACCTTTTGATTTTATCCCGGACATACATACAGACAAACAGACAAAAATTCTAAAAACTGTATTTTTGGCTTCGGTATCGATTGTAGATCACCCCAAGTATTCTATCAAAAAAATCTTCAATGTTCATAGTTAACATAACTACAAATATTTTAAATCACTCTCAATAAGTATCAAAAGCGAACTTTAATCTACTTATGAATTAATTATAATGTTTTTTGGTAAATGAATCGTTTGTGTCATCACTGATCAGATCATATCGTCGTGTCAATGGGAAAACCAACTAAATGTCCAAATTACAGAAATGAGATATTTCATTTCGAAGGTTTGACAAGGAAAAAAATCGCACTATAGTTGGTTTTCCCATTAACACGACGATATATGTACGTACATTGTTGCGCTGCCTTTCTATATATTTTTTAAGATCTCGTACAAAATACTAAATAATAACAGTAATAAATAAATTATAATAGCATTTAAACCTAGGACCTGGTGCAGGAATCAGGATCCCGTTGCATCAACCGATCATCTCTTATCTATTAGACAAGTCCGTCCGTCCGTCTGTGGTGCTGTTTCAGCGGCCAAACCGTAAGAGATAGATAAAGAGAATATTTAAGTTATAAGTTAAGAATAGTCTGATAAGACTTCAAACCGGATTTGAGTAACGTAGCACTTCCGGTTTTCGAGAAATCACGAATTTCAAACGAAACCACACAAAATCTCCGAAGTTCTCAATTAATTAAATACATTTTTTTTTTAAATCAGGTTTTGGTGAACATTTGGTTCACTGGTTTGCTAGTTACTTCTATTCTGACAGGAAAAAAATGTGAATGCTGTATCTTCTATATCTTTGTTACTTACTGAAATAAAATACTAGTACTTTAGTGTTAGTAATACGAACTCCAGCTAACCGCGCACTCGTCTAATGCTGAATGTGGATCACACGGATGACAATTGATCAATTTGAGCGTCGACTAGCCCCATCTCGACCGTCCGCCCAACGAGACAATAAACCATACACAGGCCACCACGCTGTCAACACGGATACACGCAAATTGCTGCCTTATTGTCGACCGGCCAAGCTCTCTTCAAATTGGCAGCTTCGGCAAGGGCTATTAAATTAGTTCGCGAGTTTGATGAGATGCAATTGAAGCCTCGGTTCTAAGATAACCCCTGGATGCGCGCACAGTTAACATTATAACTACACTAATCAGCTATTTTAAGATGTGAAATGAATGTGATACTAGGGTGTAGTTATTTATTGTCTTTAAATAATAATTGGTATGCTATAGTCAGAGCTCGAAGGAATGAATGATGCTTTATCCTAAGTTAGTTGAATCACTTGAATCCCCCTTTTGTCTAACTTCTAAGTAAATTATGCGTTTATTAATCGACTGACATAAGTGATGTCATAAAAGTAGCTTGTTTAAATTGAGTAATTATAACGGTCACTAAATGTCCGGGACAGCCGAACCGGTCTTTACGCCTGGCGACCGCGACCTTCATCACAAGAAAGTCGGAATAAATTACAAAACTGCTAGGTACTACAGGGAAATCAGGCCGTCAAAGCTTTCTGGTTGGATATTCTTTCAGATTTAAGGTATAAAGTTTCCCTAGGTTACGTGTCATTAATTTTAACTTACTATAAACATTTTTATTCTGACGAATCGTATGTTTCATGCAATCAATCTTCTTCAATAAATGTATCGTTACTTGCGCTTATAGCTGTGTTCCATTTCCAGGCATTGTGTCGGTGTCGGACGGGCACGTGGAGGTGGCGTCGCCGCGCGAGCACTGGCGTCCGCTGCTGTCGCACTACGCCGGACCCACCGCGGTCATCGTACTGGCTGCATTGCTCGTCGTCACGCTACCTCTGGCCGGGTGAGTGGTGACACTGAGAGACATATTCAACAAGAGCCAGGCATCGTGTCAGTGTCGAACGGGCACGTGGAGGTGGCGTCCGCTGCTGTCGCACTACGCCGGACCCACCGCGGTCATCGTACTGGCTGCATTGCTCGTCGTCACGCTACCACTGGCCGGGTGAGTGGTGACACTGAGAGACATATTCAACAAGAGCCAGGCATCGTGTCAGTGTCGAACGGGCACGTGTGGGTGGCGTCCGCTGCTGTCGCACTACGCCGGACCCACCGCGGTCATAATACTGGCTGCATTGCTCGTCGTCACGCTTCCACTGGCCGGGTGAGTGGTGACACTGAGAGACATATTCAACAAGAGCCAGGCATCGTGTCAGTGTCGAACGGGCACGTGGGGGTGGCGCCCGCTGCTGGCGCACTACGCCGGACCCACCGCGGTCATCGTACTGGCTGCATTGCTCGTCGTCACGCTACCTCTGGCCGGGTGAGTGGTGACACTGAGAGACATATTCAACAAGAGCCAGGCATCGTGTCAGTGTCGAACGGGCACGTGGAGGTGGCGTCCGCTGCTGTCGCACTACGCCGGACCCACCGCGGTCATCGTACTGGCTGCATTGCTCGTCGTCACGCTACCACTGGCCGGGTGAGTGGTGACACTGAGAGACATATTCAACAAGAGCCAGGCATCGTGTCAGTGTCGAACGGGCACGTGTGGGTGGCGTCCGCTGCTGTCGCACTACGCCGGACCCACCGCGGTCATAATACTGGCTGCATTGCTCGTCGTCACGCTTCCACTGGCCGGGTGAGTGGTGACACTGAGAGACATATTCAACAAGAGCCAGGCATCGTGTCAGTGTCGAACGGGCACGTGGGGGTGGCGCCCGCTGCTGGCGCACTACGCCGGACCCACCGCGGTCATCGTACTGGCTGCATTGCTCGTCGTCACGTTGCCACTGGCCGGGTGAGTGGTGACACTGAGAGACCTAATCAACAAGAGCCAGGCATCGTGTCAGTGTCGAACGGGCACGTGGGGGTGGCGCCCGCTGCTGGCGCACTACGCCGGACCCACCGCGGTCATCGTACTGGCTGCATTGCTCGTCGTCACGCTACCTCTGGCCGGGTGAGTGGTGACACTGAGAGACATATTCAACAAGAGCCAGGCATCGTGTCAGTGTCGAACGGGCACGTGGGGGTGGCGCCCGCTGCTCTCGCACTACGCCGGACCCACCGCGGTCATCGTACTGGCTGCATTGCTCGTCGTCACGCTACCACTGGCCGGGTGAGTGGTGACACTGAGGCACATATTCAACAAGAGCAAGGCATCGTGTCAGTCTCGAACGGGCACGTGGGGGTGGCGTCCGCTGCTGTCGCACTACGCCGGACCCACCGCGGTCATCGTACTGGCTGCATTGCTCGTCGTCACGCTACCACTGGCCGGGTGAGTGGTGACACTGAGGCACATATTCAACAAGAGCCAGGCATCGTGTCAGTCTCGAACGGGCACGTGGGGGTGGCGTCCGCTGCTGTCGCACTACGCCGGACCCACCGCGGTCATCGTACTGGCTGCATTGCTCGTCGTCACGCTTCCACTGGCCGGGTGAGTGGTGACACTGAGGCACATATTCAACAAGAGCAAGGCATCGTGTCAGTGTCGAACGGGCACGTGGGGGTGGCGCTCGCTGCTGTCGCACTACGCCGGACCCACCGCGGTCATCGTACTGGCTGCATTGCTCGTCGTCACGCTTCCACTGGCCGGGTGAGTGGTGACACTGAGGCACATATTCAACAAGAGCCAGGCATCGTGTCAGTGTCGAACGGGCACGTGGAGGTGGCGTCCGCTGCTGTCGCACTACGCCGGTCCCACCGCGGTCATCGTACTGGCTGCATTGCTCGTCGTCACGCTAACACTGGCCGGGTGAGTGGTGACACTGAGAGACATATTCAACAAGAGCCAGGCATCGTGTCAGTGTCGAACGGGCACGTGTGGGTGGCGTCCGCTGCTGTCGCACTACGCCGGACCCACCGCGGTCATCGTACTGGCTGCATTGCTCGTCGTCACGCTTCCACTGGCCGGGTGAGTGGTGACACTGACAGACATATTCAACAAGAGCCAGGCATCGTGTCAGTGTCGAACGGGCACGTGGGGGTGGCGCCCGCTGCTGGCGCACTACGCCGGACCCACCGCGCTCATCGTACTGGCTGCATTGCTCGTCGTCACGCTACCACTGGCCGGGTGAGTGGTGACACTGAGGCACATATTCAACAAGAGCAAGGCATCGTGTCAGTGTCGAACGGGCACGTGGGGGTGGCGCTCGCTGCTGTCGCACTACGCCGGACCCACCGCGGTCATCGTACTGGCTGCATTGCTCGTCGTCACGCTTCCACTGGCCGGGTGAGTGGTGACACTGAGGCACATATTCAACAAGAGCCAGGCATCGTGTCAGTGTCGAACGGGCACGTGGAGGTGGCGTCCGCTGCTGTCGCACTACGCCGGTCCCACCGCGGTCATCGTACTGGCTGCATTGCTCGTCGTCACGCTAACACTGGCCGGGTGAGTGGTGACACTGAGAGACATATTCAACAAGAGCCAGGCATCGTGTCAGTGTCGAACGGGCACGTGTGGGTGGCGTCCGCTGCTGTCGCACTACGCCGGACCCACCGCGGTCATCGTACTGGCTGCATTGCTCGTCGTCACGCTTCCACTGGCCGGGTGAGTGGTGACACTGAGAGACATATTCAACAAGAGCCAGGCATCGTGTCAGTGTCGAACGGGCACGTGGGGGTGGCGCCCGCTGCTGGCGCACTACGCCGGACCCACCGCGGTCATCGTACTGGCTGCATTGCTCGTCGTCACGTTGCCACTGGCCGGGTGAGTGGTGACACTGAGAGACCTAATCAACAAGAGCCAGGCATCGTGTCAGTGTCGAACGGGCACGTGGGGGTGGCGCCCGCTGCTGGCGCACTACGCCGGACCCACCGCGGTCATCGTACTGGCTGCATTGCTCATCGTCACGCTACCACTGGCCGGGTGAGTGGTGACACTGAGGCACATATTCAACAAGAGCAAGGCATCGTGTCAGTGTCGAACGGGCACGTGGGGGTGGCGCTCGCTGCTGTCGCACTACGCCGGACCCACCGCGGTCATCGTACTGGCTGCATTGCTCGTCGTCACGCTTCCACTGGCCGGGTGAGTGGTGACACTGAGGCACATATTCAACAAGAGCCAGGCATCGTGTCAGTGTCGAACGGGCACGTGGAGGTGGCGTCCGCTGCTGTCGCACTACGCCGGTCCCACCGCGGTCATCGTACTGGCTGCATTGCTCGTCGTCACGCTAACACTGGCCGGGTGAGTGGTGACACTGAGAGACATATTCAACAAGAGCCAGGCATCGTGTCAGTGTCGAACGGGCACGTGTGGGTGGCGTCCGCTGCTGTCGCACTACGCCGGACCCACCGCGGTCATCGTACTGGCTGCATTGCTCGTCGTCACGCTTCCACTGGCCGGGTGAGTGGTGACACTGAGAGACATATTCAACAAGAGCCAGGCATCGTGTCAGTGTCGAACGGGCACGTGGGGGTGGCGCCCGCTGCTGGCGCACTACGCCGGACCCACCGCGGTCATCGTACTGGCTGCATTGCTCGTCGTCACGTTGCCACTGGCCGGGTGAGTGGTGACACTGAGAGACCTAATCAACAAGAGCCAGGCATCGTGTCAGTGTCGAACGGGCACGTGGGGGTGGCGCCCGCTGCTGGCGCACTACGCCGGACCCACCGCGGTCATCGTACTGGCTGCATTGCTCATCGTCACGCTACCTCTGGCCGGGTGAGTGGTGACACTGAGAGATATATTCAACAAGAGCCAGGCATCGCGCCTGTGTCGAACGGGCACGTGGAGGTGGCGCCCGCTGCTGTCGCACTACGCCGGACCCACTGCGGTAATCGTACTGGCTGCCTTGCTCGTCGTCACGCTACCACTGGCCGGGTGAGTGGTGACACTGAGAGACCTATTCAACAAGAGCCAGGCATCGTGTCAGTGTCGAACGGGCACGTGGAGCAGCGGGTGCTGGCGCACTACGCCTTGGTTGGCTTGCTCGTGGTCACTGTTCTACTGCTTTTTCTGGTAAAAATAAAATTTTCTTTGTGATATTTTATCTAAGTATATTAAATTATGATATTTTGCTAGGTTGTTCTGGTGTTGCTGCTACTGGTGCAAGTCGGGGCGGCGGCGGCGCGCCTTTGACCGGAAGTACGACGCCTGCCTCAAGGGGATCCTCGCTATATTGCTCATAGCGCTACTGACTCTGTTCATGTAAGAATTATACCGATTTTAATATATTCTCATGTACTCCAGTTTCATTACAAATCTTCGGAGTCATTTAAAGCTAGCTGGTCGATTATTGGGGAGGCGTAATTTTTTCCATGCTTAGAATGAAAAATGCAGCTATTGAGACGTTTATGCCGTAAATAATGAAATTCTGTTAAATAACTCGCACAGTCCCTGCTAGAATACCAGCTTTGACACGGTTAGAGAAGTATATTCTTTTCACACACTGAGGTAGGGTCCTGGTTGGCGATCTATAAAGATTATATGGTATCTTTTGTGTCATATGTAAAGTTTTCTTTTTATTAATCTTTATTTGTTTTTTTATTGTTATAATGGCCAATAAATATTTTTTCATTTCATTTCTATTGTCGTCTGTAGCACATAAATACACATCTGTATATTTAGCCGGAAAAAAGATCTTTTTTTGGGTTCATTATTGTTTAAGTTTTTTTTTATTTTATTTTTACCCGGCTGCGCAATGCAAGAGCGCGAAGCGCAACGCGCAGACAGGGTTATGTGTTTAACAGTCTATATTTGTATGTTTGTTCCTTTGTGGCACACTAGAGACCAAACGCCTGGACCGATTTTGATGATTCATACATCAATCGATTCGTCTCAATCATGGGAGTGCTACTAAAGATATGATAGTAATCAAAATTCAGTATGGGCAAAATTAGGCGCCATATTGTGACGAAGTAAAAAAAAATAAGTTGACAAATGTCTGTCTGTATGTCGAGTGGGGTATCACTGTCTAGATAATCAAAAATCATATTTAGATTATTTATTTTTTGGCAGTAAAGAACTGCCAAACTAACTATCCTCAACTCGCCGGCTTGCACGAATGCTTCTTTACGTCTCTTTTGAAGGATACTTGCAGGCAAAAACTTCCACTTGCGAATAGTATGACAAAGTTTTTTTTGTTCGTATAGGAATAATAGGTTGTCACAGTAATCCTGTGGCAACGTGTAGTCCCATGAAGGAAAGGGAAGGGGGGGGGGGGGGGCAAAGGAGAATAACTCCTCGGAACACTCGTGGTACAGTCGAGAGGAGGTGCTAAATGATTCTAAACAATTGTAGCATGCTTTCACGACCGTATGAACCAGGGAACAAAGAATCTGCTAGTGTCTTCCATAATTGGCTGTTCGCTATCAGTTGCAATCGTAGAAACAAATTCACTCGCGGTTTGAATGGACTAACATTGTATCCACATATCGGTGAGAAAGCCGCTACCGAATTCCATAACTGGGCTGTTTGCAATCTGTTGCAATCGGCAGAAGGCTCTGGGATAGCTCTGTAGTGGGCCTTTTTTATGCCTCCCTCAACTATCGGGAGCAGCGCGAAGAGGGTATCTGAAAGCTCTTCCGCGCCCATTTCGCCCAGCCCGGAGGCTCAGTGAAATGTGTCATGGCCCTACCCAGTAAAAACCAGATAATACTTCTGCATCGGTCATCAGACACTATGACGATCGTCATGGCCCTAAGGCTGTCTATCCACCGAAGCGGAGCGAGGCTGCCGAGCAGAGAAACAGAGAAATATTAACCAATAGGATTGCACAAATCTCCGCTCCTCTTCTTGGTTATTATTTCTCCGTTTTACCGCTCCGCTTCCGCACAGGCAGCTTTATGCGTGCCGGGAGTGGGGGCAGGAACAAGAGAGACTGACCAAGCATTCGAAACGAGTGAGTCCAGAGCTCAACTGGCTGCAAAAAAGCTTGGCGTCCTCGCAAGGGTGCGGAAGCACTTTTACCGGAACAGCTGCTCACCTTGTACCAAGAGCAAGTTCGCTCGTGCCTGGAGTACTGTTCGCACCTTTGGGACGGTTCTGCAAAATATCAGCTAGAGTCTCTGGAGTGCATTGAGAGGCGTGCAAAGAAGCTCATCGGTGACGACAAATTATTCGAGACGACTCCAAAGTCTTGAACGCAGGCGAAAAGTTGCCTCTTTATCGGTTTTTTACCGGTTACATTTCGGAGAGTGTGCTTCGGAGTTACATAACTTAATTCCACCTTCACCTTTTTACCACAGAACCACCAGAGAGACGGCAAAACGCCACAGATATACCGTAGAGGTCCCACAAACTCGTACTAAACGGTTTGCTTCCACCTATATAATCAGAACAGCTAGGTTGTGGAACTCTTTGCCGGATTCTCCGTTTCCAGTCACCTATAATCTGGGGCTCTTCAAGTCGCGAGTGAATCGGTTTCTTCTAGGCAAGCGCGTCCCACCTTAGGCTGCTACGTCGCTCTTCATCAGTCGCGTGGCCGTCAAGCTTAAGCCTATTTACTGTAAAAAAAAAATGGGTGCGTGTACTTATGTAGGCGCGTGAGAAGTTATCCTTCTTTGGCATCGTTTAAAATTAGTTTTTAATTGCATGCAAATAATTAATTACAATAAATTAATAAAAAGTCTGGAAAAGGACACAGTCAATAAAGTTCAGTTTTAATTTGAAAAAATAAATAAATAATCAAAATATTCAATTAAAATCGCTACTGAATATAATTTATTAGAACATATGCGATTTGCACTTGTATGAAACTCAAACACGTATTCCGAATATACAAACTAGAAACATGTGGATAAATATTATAAATATGAATACCTATAACTGTTACTTTATTACAAAAAATAAAGATGTGGTTTTTGGTTCTACTACACCAATGGTCAAGAGATGGCGCTGTAGTCTCCTGAATCGCGCTTCGGTTCCGTTGTTCCAGATTAATAAATACTTTTGATAGGCCTTCACAATGCAGTCGTTAGCACCCACAAAATAGAGATTCTATTTCTATTTTGTTGGTAGATTTTCTCAATGTGCGGTAAACACAAAAGTATGTTAATTTTTTGTGTTACAGTGATGCGCGCGCATCTTAAAATTTCACTCTCATCATTTTTTCATAACGCGCCTAAAGAAGTATAACTTCAAAAAACGGTTCCGTCCGTCAGGTTCGGCGTGGTATGCGCGTTCGCGACGGACTCGCAGCTGGAGAGCAGCGCGGGCGAGGCGCCGGCGGCGGTGCGCGTGGGGCTGGCGGACGCGCGCGAGTTCCTGCACGCCACGCAGGCGCACGCGCGCCACCTGCTCGTCACCAACTACCGCGAGCTGGAGATGAAGGTCAACGGTCTGCTGTCCAGTGAGTACTTGTGGGATTTGAACGATGGTGTTTTCGATAAGGATTGCGAGTGCGAAGGTATGAATGCGATGGTGATGTTAAAATTGTTTAGACGTTCCATGTATACTTATTCTTAGCAAATAAAATGAAAAAACAGAAGTGCAATAAAAAAGTTTGGAATCTCCTACACCACCTAGGTTGGCTGGAAGAGATCTTTTAGAGATAAGCCCACCTTTGTTGACTATGTATTTGACTTTGTTTTGAACCATATGATGCAATAAAGAGTATAGGTCATAATAATAAAATAATTTAAATTTAGAAAGCGAAAGAGATTATAATGTGTTAGTACTGTAGTCTGCAAGTCGAGACCAATTTGGTGAGGATTTATTTGGTTTTGAGCCCGATTAAAACCGTATATTTTTTTCATGTATGATCACGTATAAATTTTTACAGAGAAATCTGATTTTAATATTTTTTTTGAAATGGAAATGGTATAAATATTCTCTGAAGTCGGTCCCATTTGACTCAATTTTCTTCACAATATCAGCTAGTTTCGCATTTGTGTATCATTTCTTGCGTTCCAAATGTTGTGAGATGGAATCGCATATGTTTAATTGCGCGGGTGGGTCATATGCGCAGGTTCGGGTGTGGCGGTGTCGGCGCAAGTGGGAGCCTTGTCCCGCGGCGCCGCGGTGTCGGCGCTGGCGACGCTGGTGGCGCGGCTGGACTCGGTGCGCGACCAGCTGCGGCACGTGGCGCGCCTCACTGACAGCCTGCGCGCTCGAGCCGACCGCCTCAACGCCGGTACGTGCGGGCTCACTGGCGACGCTGGTGGCGCGGCTGGACTCGGTCACTAGGCGCTGTGGAACATGAGCGGCATCATCACCAGCCTTATATGATGCTCGTACTAGCATCGAATAAAATAGGCTCAGACTCAACTAGCTGAGCGACTGTCACACACGCACACTTCTGTAAATAAACATTCGATCGAGCGAGCGAGAGGGAACTGTACGCTTCGACGCAGCACGGGCGAAACGCCGGAGGGCCGACTCCCTAACGGGATTACTATGCCTATCGATATCGTTAACGATTTCATTTTGTTATTTCTGACCCCCGAAGGTTTTTAAATACCTTACGCTCGTTTTCTTTAATATTGTTATTACCAATGCAAAAGAAAAAAAACGAGCGCGAGGCATTTCAAAACCTTCAGCGGTCAGAAAAAAAAAATCGATAGCGATAGACTCGCCTGCTACGCTAGCGGCGCGGGTTCGATACGGGTTTTTTATTAATGATTTTAAAATTTTCACTTGTATCGTGGTTTTTATAATTTTTATTGTTATTACATGGTTTAGGGCTCCGCAAGGTGAAGGGGCAGCTGCTGCAGACTTTAGCGCAGTGCGAGCAGCCCCCGTGCGTGCGGCTGCAGGAGAAGTACAAAATCGGACAACTGGACACCGAGATACAGTACAACCGGGTACGTTTCGATATGGCGCGCGACTTTATGTGCTCAATAGGGTATTTGACAAGTTTTAAGCAATGATTTCACGTTATTGACTAATGTTTATGGAGTCCGTAAAAAGTGGATATTCATCATTCTGTTGTGTATTTCAGTAAAAATAATCAAATCAAAAACTCCATTTTCAAGTTGCTGCGAAAACGTTTCTCTGGACAATATGGCGTCTTACTAGTGTGTGACGTCACACGACTGTTATTAAAACGTCAAACGATACAATGTAATGTCACTTTAACCGGAAGTTTACTTGCGTGTGACGTCATTTTAGGCTCCGGAAATGCCTAGCGATTTGGGTCACGTGACAATAGATAAGAAAACTATTATCTTTTTCGAGGGTTTTTACTAAAATGATGAACATTTTTTTTGTAAAAATAGTAAAATTCCCTGCCAATATTCAATCTAAACACAGCTGCTAACAATTGGCACTTTATTTTTAATACTGTCAAATACCTTATTACACTATCAGAACCAGACTGATGATGGTAAGGTTTCATCTTTAACGAGTAATAACTGCATGCATAATTTCTCTTTATTTGTAAATAATTAAAAATGTACGTACTTCAGAATTGGGATCAGATCATTTCAAGAAATCAGCATTATTCATTAATTTCAACATAGAAAGAGCTAAATTGGAACTGCAATTTCAATATTATATTCTATAATTCTTCACATCTAAATTTATTGCATATTTCACTTTCTTTCACATCCACAGATCTGATGTCTTTGTATATATTTATGAAACACTATTTTTGTATATTCAACACTTTTCTATAACTCTTACACGCTAACTCGGAACAGATGCTTGATAAATACTTCCCCACTGTAAGTATAATAGGTTAAGTTCTGTAATTTTTTTAAATATACATATATTGATTGTTAAAGTCATGTATTTGAAAATTCTCTTTTAATACTTAATGCAATTGAAAAGAAGTTATAATGTTATCTGAAAAGGTTTGAATTTCTGTTTAATGAAGTAATATCAATTTAAATTATTGAAAGCTTGTACATCTTCCATCCTTTCGAGCCTCTTCTCTTTGTGAGTGTGATTTCTCTTTATCATTGATGTTCTGTTAATTCCATAGCCGAAGCTATTTCAGCTCAGTTTATCAAAAAGCGGTTCCGTTTTCTATCAATCTAGGCGAACCTATCTCTTATTAAGTACTAGCGACCCGCCCTCGCTTCGCTTCGGTGTAGAGCTGAAGTGTAGACTACAGTTTTTGTTCTCAGGCTTGTATTATGCATAATGACATTCATCTATGTTTCTTCTTATACCTGCATACAAAGTCTCAGTCCGATCGGTTTAAAATTGACAAAGTTTCATACAAACTTTCATTCCCTATTTTATCCCCTTGGGGGTAGAAATGATCAAAATCCTTTCTTAGTGGATGCCTACGTTATAACATCTACCTGCATGCCAAATTTCAGCCCGATCCGTCCAGTGGTTTGGGCTGTGCGTTGATAGATCACTATGTCAGTCAGTCACTTTTGAGTTTTATATATATAGACTAGCTGACTCGGCGAACTTCGTACCGCCCAAAAGTAATAATTTGCAATAAATTAAAATTGCGACTATAATTTGAGATTTAAACTATCCTATCTCTCTAGTTGGATCGAACTGCACATGGTGTGCGAATTTTATTATAATCGGTTCAGTGGTTTAGGAGTCCATTGAGGACAAACATTGTGACACGAGATTTATATATATATTAAGATATATACATAGATGCATGGGGCCAAGAGTGCCATGACCCGGGGCGGCAAAAGCCATATAAAGTCACTGACCTATATTTTGATGATGGCAAATCGTTAACTGAGTATGTCTGTCTGTATGTCCAGATGCCTGACGTGTCCGAGCTATTGGCGAACGTGACTTTGCTGCTTGAAGGCAATATTAAGGAAGAAGTGGCGGATGGACAGCGAGTGTTCCGCGACATACAGCGCGGCATACAACGCTCGTTAGACGAGCACATACCCGGCGTGCAGGCGGAGCTGGCGCGGACAGGTATTGCAAATGCACATAATATATCACTAATAAAATAATAATCTCAGGCAACACTGAGTTGATATCGAGTTAGTACCTACATATCTGTTTTAAAAATTATATTTTTGAAGTGAAAACTTCTTTAGCGGCGTTGTACACTTTTTTTGTATGGGTAAAAAATGTTAAACTCGCGTCAGGTTAAACACGTGGGCTGATCGCATCATGACACACAATGAAATTGGAAAGGTGGTTGACTTTTAATATATTGGACGAAACATAGTAATATTTCATTTTATCGTATTATAATAATAAGGGTTTGACTTTCAATATATTGGACGAAACATAGTAATATTTCATTTTGTCGTATTATAATAATAAGGGTCTATCTAGGACGTCCACGTGGTAGCTTTATTGCGAAGAAAATGCATTTTTTTTACAATAGATGTCACTAGGTGCGCTTAAATGTGATTCATGTAAGTTGATTTCTTTAGTTGAGTAAGACTAAGCTGGCGAATTCGTTACGCGTTACGAAAAGTGTGTTCGGGCAAGGCGAACGGGAGTTGAGTGGGGGATATAACCAAGAGAAAGCAGCGCACGCGCACATTTTCTTTGTCCCATTCTCTTATAGCTAGTAAATGAAATATGTATTTGTACGTTCATATGTATATTGTACACACACACACACACATATATATATAAACATACATACAGATGGAGCTAAGTAAGTTTTACTTTAGTCGTGTGGTCATAACCACACGCGTTTATTTTTATTAATAATAAATCCTCTTCGTTTCTTAGGTTTTCACGCACATTACTCATTAAATAAAACTAGTTTTAACGGGTTAATGCACGAACTTTATTTATTTATTGACGTTTCGCAGCGTTTTCAGGTCTGCATCGTCAGAATAATGATTTTCTATTTACTTTGTCGAGCTACCTTCGAAAGACTTTTATTGAGCGTTCAGATATTTCATTGGAAGATTTCTAAATTTTTACTGACTATGTATGAATTTATTAGTTAATTTAGTAAAAAAAGTACCTTATTTAATATTCTTTTTTGTAATTTTGAGTTTATTTATTTGACCCTAACTACCGTAACTATTTGACGACACTGTCTGCTGAGTTTCTTGCCGGTTCTTTTCAATACAAGGTCTCCCGCCGTAGATTTGCGAACCGATGGCGTAGCTTTTCGACATTCACAAGTGCTTGTAACAGCCTAGACTGAATAAACGATATTGAATTTTGAATTTTTTGAATTTTACCGACAAAGTAAATAAAAACTCATTATTCTGACGATGCAGACCTGAAAAGGCTAAAAGGAAAACGTTAATAAATGGATAAAGTTCGTGCATTAACCCGTTAAAACTAGTTTTATTTAATAAATCCTCTTGTTAATGTAGGTCGTCAATTATCCCGAGTGGCGGACGACATAACGGCGATGGCCGGCAACGCGAGCCAGGAGTTGAAGCGACGCGAGGACGTCGCCGACGCCATGCAGTCCTTCTACGAGCGATACGGACCCTATCGGCGATACCTGGGGCTGTCCGCTGCGGCTGCCTTACTGGCTGTATGTATAACATTTGACGACCTCCGTGGCCGAGTGGTTTGTACGCCGGGTTTCATGGCTGTCGCCGACTCGAGAGGTCCCGGGTTCGAATCCCGGTGGGGGCAGATGTTTGTGTGATGAATACGAGCATTTGTACTCTAGTCATGGATGTTTAATATGTATTTATATAAATATACTTATATATGTACAGTATATGTATTCTATCCGTTACCCTAGCATCCCATAACACAAGCCTTATAGTGCTTACTTTGGGGCTAGGCTAATTGGTGTGTGTTTAAAAAAAAAAAAAAAAAAACATCGTCATCATCATCATCAGCCTATTAATGGATGAAATAGGGAGATGGGGCCCAGTGCGGATTGGCGGGTGCTAACGACTGCAAATGCAGCCGGGACCAACGGCTTTACGTGCCTTCCGAAGTAAGGAGGAGCTCGAGATAAAAGATTTTTGGTCACCCATCCAATGACCGAACACGTCAAGTTGCTTAACTTTAACGATCGAAGCCGAACGCGCTCACCACCTGTGTCATCGAGCTCCTGTATAACATACTTATATCTTACGACAATACTACACTGTGAATCACTCAAGACATAGCCGTAGAAAAATCCTACGAGCGTTACTGATGTTATAAGTATCAGCTCTAGAGCTGTTTGTGTATCAATATGAAATGAAATGAAATGAAAAGTCATTTATTCAGTCTAGGCTGTTACAAGCACTTGTGAAGGTCAAGAAGCTACGCCATCGGTTCGCAAAACTACGGCGGGAGACTTTGTACTGAGAAGAACCGGCAAGAAACTCAGCAAGGGCTGTTTTTTTCTCCCTGTATTGTTATATACAGTGTCGTCGAGTTGAAAAATGACTTCAGTAATACGTCTGTAGTCACTTTCCATTACATCATTTAGAATATAAATATATAAATACATAATATTAATAATGGTGTGTTGACCCCGGCCACACTGGGGTCATGTTGCTTAGGATTTAACAGACAATATCTGCCCCAAAAAGGAAGAGTTGTCTTAATTTTTCATCACACAAAAACGGCTGGACGGACACATCTATCGGCCCACTTAATGTTATTAGTTTAAGCAAAGTAAATGAAAATACATTTATAACACGCTGAGCGGGTAGAAGTTTAAAAATTCATGGTGCGTGCTGTTCTTATAATTTACGGTTATTTCTAGCAAGTGCCGTACTTTCGAATTTCGATTTAACTCGAAGAAGGTTATTAAAATGATGCTCACATTTCCAAGCATGTTTGAGAAAATAACTTTTTGAAGTTATACTTCTTTAGCCGCGTTATGAAAAAAATATGAGAGTGAAATTTTAAGATGCGCGCGCATCACTGTAACACAAAAGTAACATAATGAAGTTAGCCGCGGGCGCGTTATGAAAAAATGATGAGAGTGAAATTTTAAGATGCGCGCGCATCACTGTAACACAATAGTAACACCATGAAGTTGGCCGCGGGCGCGTTATGAATGTTAGTGTCTAATAATGGTGGATTATTAACCACTTAGTAGTTAATAATCCACCATTATTAGACATCTGTTCGAAAGGTACTTTGAACGATCCACGGAGCTCCATAAGATGATCGCGTTGTCAAAAACAATGTTGGCACGCTCGTCGCCTCTGATCACTGTTTTCATATTTATAATATTTATCCACATGTTTCTAGTTTCTATAAAGACACAACGTGTTTTAGTTACTTACAAGTGCTAATTACATATGGACTAATAACTTAAATTCAGTAGTGATTTTAATTGAATATTTTGAATATTTATTTAATTTTTCAAATTAAAACTGAACTTAATTGACTGTGTTAACTATCCTTTTCCAGTCCTTTTATTATTTTATTGTAATTATTAATTATTTGCATGCAATTAAAAATATTTTTAATGATGCTAAAGAAGTATAACTTCTCACGCGCGTACATAAGTAACACGCATCCAAGTTTTTTTAGTAGGTATTAAACATATGAATTGTTTATCGCTAACAGTGACGTTTTATATGACAGATGACATGTATCTTGGCGTTGGGCGTGACTTGCGGCGTTTGCGGCAAACGGCCCGACGTGTACGGCGCCAGCGACTGCTGCAATAAGGGCGCCGGCGCATCGTGGCTGCTGTGGTAACCAATCTACAAGCTATTTTTACAAGCTTTTATTTAACTTGCAATGTATGTTTCATCATCATCATCAGCCTATCAATGTCCCCACTGCTGGGGCACAGGCCTTCCCTATGGATGGAATAGGGAGATTGGGCCATGACCCACCACGCGGGCCCAGTGCGGATTGGTGGGTGCTAACGACTGCAAATGCAGCCGGGACCAACGGCTTAACGTGCCTTCCGAAGCACGGAGGAGCTCGAGATAGTAAATTTTTGGTCACCCATCCATTGACCGACCACTGCGAAAGTTGCTTAACTTCAACGATCGCAGCCGAACGCGCTAGCCACCTGCGCCATCGAGCTCCTCTATTAATGTATGTTTGTTCGGGTGAAATCTTCAATTTTAAGGCACTTGCCCTTAACCGATTGAGCTGAAATTTGGTATACACCTTCAGTTTGGATGACAATGCATGATTAACAGTGTGACGTCATTCTAAATCCAACATGGCGGCATACCCAAAATGGCGGACCAATCATTTTTAATCCATTCCTACAATATGGGTATCAAATTATAAGGGCTTGCTGAGAGTAACTCGAAAAAAATGTGACGTCTCTTTTTCTTTTTAGCGCATTTAAATAAAAGCTTGTTTTTAAAAAGGTTTTTGTACCTTAATTTTATATTAACACCTTAGGTGCACTTGCAGCGATTTTGCTAAATCTCGATTCAACGAAAACTTCTTAAATACCATTTCTATGGGAGTTCAATGGTCAAATTGTCATCACACGAATATTATAAAGGCGAAAGTTTGTGTATGAGTGTCTATGTTTGTTAGTTTTACACGTCTAAACGGCTGGACGGATTTGGATGAAATTTGGCACACATATAGTTTACTACCTGGATTAAGACAAAGGATTCTTTCTATCCCGAAAAAAAATTTGTCGTTATTTATTCAAAGAGATTACTTGTACCAAGGATGGGGAAACCTTTTCCTTATCGTTCCAATATTTACTAACAGAATCTATGGCAAGCCACGTTTTGCATAAATTTTTAATTGTTATTAAAAAAATCTCTTTCCAAGACTATCAAAAGCATCGATGGATCAGTAGTAGAGGCTCGCCGGCGGCGCGGGTTCGATTCTCAACCGAGAAAGGACTTTTATTTTTAATAATTTCATAAGTTTTACTTGCATTGTGGTTTCATAAAACCACACCAATTTTTTCTTTATTTTTTTCCAAATCATATTAATATTAGCTGTTAACGGGATTGTTACCATGTACCTTGTGTTTAATAAGTCTCAGTTACTCCCAGATCACGGTGCTTGCCGAAATATCGGAGACTCATAAAAAACAAGGTACATGATAACAATCCCGTTAATAGCTATAATGTTAGTGACCATGAAATTTTAAAACAATATATTATTATATAATCTAATATATAAAATTCTCTTGTCGCGGTGTTTGTGGTTAAACTCCTCCGCAACGGCTTTCCCGATTCTCATGAAATTTTGTGTGCATATTGGGTAGGTCTGAGAATCGGACAACATCTATTTTTCCCCCCTAAATTTACACATTTACACCCCTAAATTTTTTTTTTCATTTTTAGATATTTTTTTTTAATTTTTTTATGATACATCATACACAAATACATACAACCCTAAATTTTCACCCTTCTACCACCAACCCCTATTTTTTTATGGCGGTACGAAGTTCGCTGGGACAGCTAGTATCATTATCTTTATATATATAATTCTTCTGTGAGTGTGTATGTCACTGAACTTCTCTTAAACGACTGGACCGATTTTGATGAAATTTTTTGTGTGTGTTCAAGGGGATCTGAGAATGGTTTAGATTCACAATTTTGTCCGCTGGACAACCCCTATTTTTTTAGGGCGGTACGACGTTCGCTGGGTCAGCTAGTAATTTTATATTTTTCTTTTCTTCTGAAGTCCTTGTGACAGCGCTGGACTGCACGAATGATTGTGATGTTGGTATATAAATTAATATGTGTCCATATATATAATTTTGCAGCGGCACCGGTTGTATGTTCGTGGTGGGCGGGTGCGTGGCTGCCGTGGCGCTGGTATACTTCCTGGCCGGCATCACGGCGCAGCGGTTCCTCTGCGACCCGTTAACGTAAGTTTATCGACGATATTAAATGAAAATTAAATAAATGGGTTACCTACAATGCGAAGAGATGGCGCTGCCTCGCAGCCTAAGGCTAGAGAAAATTCGACACGGCCGTCAGGGCCGCGGCAGCATAATGGTCAGTGCATTCGCCCGGATAGCGAAGGGTGCGGGTTCGAGTCCCGTCTGCTGCCTGGTCTGCGTGGAGTTTTTTTTCTAGTAAACTTTTCTTTAGATTTAACCATCTAGCAGTTAAATTCTTAAAAAAAACATAAAAAATTAATATTTCCAACACACACCAATTAGCTTAGCCCCAAAGTAAGCACTGTAAGGCTTGTCTTATGGGATACCCACTAGGGTGACGGATAGAATGCATATACTGTATATATTATATTAGTATATTTATATAGAAATACATATTAAACATCCATGACTGGAGTACAAATACTCGTATTCATCACACAAACATCTGCCTACATTAAATACACAGAAAAATCAATAACTGCAAAGGAGTATTAGGCTAGGAATTCACGGCGCGATCTTCTCCTGCGACAGCCGCAACTCGCGTAGAATGTAAAATTGTAGATAAAATGCAAAATTCAAGGCTTGAATTGTACCCGCAGAGGGAACTGCGTCCTTGTCAGTTTTAAAATAATACAGTTCTACGGCCGCCGGGATAAGGTCGCTCCGTCCGTGAGTTCCTAGCTCATTTTTTTTTGTTTTTCGGTTTCAACTGTGCTATTGATTTGATCGTGATTGTCGGCAGGGAACCGCGCGGCAACCGTCTGTTCTCCGACGTGGACCGTTTCGTGGAGCTGGAGAAGGCTTTGTTCAACGAGCGGAGCGATCCCAACTTCAATCTGAGTTCTGTGCTAGTCGGTTGCCATGCCAACCACACCGTATATGAGGTACCGTTTTAAGGTGTATTAAGATTAAACACATATTAGACGTTAACGGGATTGTACCTTGTGTTTTTTGCAAGTCTCTGTATTTTCGGCAAGAAAACTCCTTGAATATGGCGTTTGCAAAAGCCGCGGCATGGTCAAGGAGATAGGAGATAAAATAAGATGCTCAGTAGCAATCCCGCGTATAACTATAATGTTGGTGAACATGAAAGTTTTATGCAATATGGGATTAAACACAGTTTTTCATATATTGTTTTAAACTTTCGTTGTCATTAACATTATAGCTATTAACGGGATTGTTACCATGTACCTTGTTTATTATGAGTTTCCGATATTTCCGCACTGTTGCAAGCGCCATGATCATGGAGTAGCAGGAGTAACAGGAATAGTGCCGAAATATCGGAGACTCATAATAAACAAGGTACATGGTAACAATAGGGTATTTGACACTATTAAAAAAAATGTCAATTGTTATCATCTGTGTTTAGAATGAATATTGGCAGGTGTTTTTACTATTTTTACAAAAAAATATTCATAATTTTACTAAAAACCCACGAAAAAGATTATAGTTTTCTTATCTATTGTCACGTGACCCAAAACGCTTGGGATATAAACTTCCTGTTAAAGTGACATTACATTGTATCGTTTGACGTTTTAATAACAGTCGTGTGACGTCACACACTAGTAAGACGCCATATTTCGCGGGTTTCATCACGGTGAAGAGGAAGAAGAGGAAGCCCACTCGTCGCAATTTGTGCGGTGTCGCCCCGATCGGACCGAATAACCTGCTGCGTCCAGCGATACCTGTGACGCTACTGTATGTGTCCCGCTTGCATTACACCACGAAGGCGGAGGGGATCGCAGAATACTTGCGTACGAAGACCAATTTCTCCCTGAGGGTCGCACGTTTGGAGTCTCGCCACGACGTGAATTTTAATTCATTTGTGGTGAGAGTGCCGACGGAACATCTGGCGACCTTTTTGAAAGAGGAGCTTTGGCCGAAAGGTGTGGTGTTCCGGCGTTTCAAAGGCAGGCTACCTGACACCACTCCGCGCCACACGTCGCCGACTAAACGTGTTATTTAGAATTTATTTTGTTATTATTTTATATTTCATATATATGTTAGACTATAAGGTATATATTTCTATGGGCCTAAGATGCCTGAATATAAATAAATAAATAAAAATAAAAAAATATTGCCCAGTGAAACGTTTTCGTGGCAACTTGAAAATGGAGTTTTTGGATTTGGTTATTTTTACTGAAATACATAACAGAATGATGAATATTCACTTTTTACGGACTCCATAAACATTAGTCAATAACGTGAGATCGTTTTTTAATACTTGTCAAATACCCTATTCATTTAATAGCTATAATAGTTTTTCATATTATATCCCCGGAGCGAAGTCGCGAATCCAGTATAATAAGCTGGAATTACCTATTGCGAGAACTAATATTTACAAAAACAGTCCGTATGTTATGTCTGTGAAAACATTTAATAACATACCAGAGGACATAAAAATGTTTCCACTAAGTCTCGGTTACTAAAATGGCTACAGGACAAATGCTTTTATTCAGTGGGAGAATTTTTAGCACAAAAGCATAATTAATTTGTATCTTCGGTACATTACGTGATTTTCAATTTTATTAATATTGACTATTATAAGAAATGAAAATTTGGATTTGATATGAATATGTAATATATCGTTTGAATGAATCGAATTTTTTTTCTTTATTAATAATATGATGTACATTTATAAAGGACATGATTTTGAATTGTTTTGAGTTTATTTGAATTGTTTAATTATATGTGTTTTCCGTATTGCATGCTGAGTGACGATAAAATATGTGATACTTTATTTATAGTGAATGTGTAACATAACATCAAACACAAATGTAACATCTTAGAGGCTGTTCAAGTATTACGTAAGCACTTTAGGGGGGTAGGGTGGTCTTTGCTTTGCTTATTTTTGATGACATGGGGGGTGGTAGAGATGGTGATTACGTCAGCATCATCGATTAAGCCTTTTTAAGTACTGCTGCTCATGAAGCTCATGAATCAATAAAAAAAAACAGAATACATGAAAGGAAAAATGCATATAGGTACCAATGTTTACGTAAGGATGGGGGGAGGGGTAAGAGCTTTGCTTACTTTTGCTGACGAGGGGAGGAGGGGGTAAATAATTGTAATAAATCTGCTCACGTAATACTTGAACGGCCCCTTATGTACACCATATTTTATGCAAATAAAGACATCTTCTTCATTGTAGTAATATAAGTTATTTACGGGATTGTTACCATGTACCTTGTTTTTAGCGAGTTTCCGATATTTCGGCACTGTTGCAAGCGCCATGATCACGGAGTAACTGAATTAATTGCGGGTAGGCTGTTATTGGCAGACATATCGGTCTACCCTCCGACGAAGTCTTTTATTGCGTTCGGTAACAATCGCGTAAATAACTTATATTACTATAATGTTAGTGACCATGAAAGTTTAAAACAATATCGAGCCGTTACCGCCAAATTATCGTAAGCGACACTTTTGTCGAAATGCGGTTTTTGTGGAAACTAATATTTTAAACCTTAACGGACCCATCTCTGTTGATATTTCCCTCCAAAAGAACACCGTTATAATATGTTTGTGGAAACTAATATTTTAAACCGTAACGAACCCATCACCGTTATATTATTTCCCTCAATAATAAGAATAAGAAATATCAACAGAGATGGGTCCGTTAAGGTTTAAAATATTAGTTTCCGTAAAAAACGCATTTCGACAAAAGTGTCGCTTACGATAATTTGGCGGTAACGGCTCGATATATTCTTCTTGTTCTCCTTAAATCAGTATTTATGGTATCGCAGACGCTACAAGTGCGACGCTTGTACGACGTGGAGGCGGCGGTGGAATCCGCTCGAGCGGCGGGGGCTCGAGCGCTAGCGGCGGCGCGGGCCGCGGGCGCCGGCACCGGGCCCGCCGCCTGGCCCGCCGGGCCCGTCCTCATACTGAGGCACAGCGCCCGCACACAACTCCGACAGCTGGCTGACGCGGGGCTCTCGGACTTCGACTTCGATCGGATCCTGCACGCGGTGAATATCACTCCGACACTCCCGGACGCGTATATAGATATGCTCGAGCGCTAGCGGCGGCGCGGGCCGCGGGCGCCGGCACCGGGCCCGCCGCCTGGCCCGCCGGGCCCGTCCTCATACTGAGGCACAGCGCCCGCACACAACTCCGACAGCTGGCTGACGCGGGGCTCTCGGACTTCGACTTCGATCGGATCCTGCACGCGGTGAATATCACTCCGACACTCCCGGACGCGTATATAGATATGCTCGAGCGCTAGCGGCGGCGCGGGCCGCGGGCGCCGGCACCGGGCCCGCCGCCTGGCCCGCCGGGCCCGTCCTCATACTGAGGCACAGCGCCCGCACACAACTCCGACAGCTGGCTGACGCGGGGCTCTCGGACTTCGACTTCGATCGGATCCTGCACGCGGTGAATATCACTCCGACACTCCCGGACGCGTATATAGATATGCTCGAGCGCTAGCGGCGGCGCGGGCCGCGGGCGCCGGCACCGGGCCCGCCGCCTGGCCCGCCGGGCCCGTCCTCATACTGAGGCACAGCGCCCGCACACAACTCCGACAGCTGGCTGACGCGGGGCTCTCGGACTTCGACTTCGATCGGATCCTGCACGCGGTGAATATCACTCCGACACTCCCGGACGCGTATATCGCGCCAAACATTTAAAAAACATTTAAAATTAATTTTACTAGAAATGCAAAGGTTAGGAATGACCACATGCGGTCGTATGGTAGTGGTTTCTACCGCTTTCTAATAGGTGTGTCGCGATTTGTGTGTGTTAAATTCTGATGGGTAAATATTAATTCAGAAATTCAATATTAATCTAAATACTAAAAAGTAATAACGACAGTAATGATTTATATTTTTTGGTGAATGATAATATTATATATAGTTATATTATAATAACTTATCAATAATAATTTAATAATCTTTTTAATTTAATAAAAATATAATCTAATTTAATTCTCCTAATAATAAATTAATCACGTCACGTCGATGTCGTTTCGCGTTACGCGCTTTCTAGGCAGAACTGAAAACCAGTGCTTTGCTCTTAGAGCAAAGGTATCGCTGAGTTTTTGCCTTTTTCTGTCGTTGCGGCACACAGTTACATACCTAGTAATTAATTGTTCTATTTTTTTACTTGAATTTGTGTGCTGAACTGATGGGAATAAATGATTTATCTATCTATCTATCTATCTATATAGATATGCTAGTTCAGTACGTCCCCGTCGGCTGAGCCGAACTGAGTTAGCGTTTCCAAACGATAAACACGCGTAATTCCTGCTCCAATACGTCTCAGACGGCGATGTACTGCAGTAGGATTTCTAAGTTAACACGCATTAAAATGTATTGGGAACCCTCATCTTATTCGTCGAGCTTACGTGACGTATTGGGGTAGGATTTCCAGTAGCTGAATCAACAAAATATTCTTAGAAAAGCTAACACGATACGTCTCTCTATGCCGATATAGCTATCACACACAAAAAAAAAACCTACGTCTGCCATAATGTGCATGCTGGTAGTTGTTGTCGTTAGATAACCCATATTATCTACATATTTAAGTAATACGCCTCCCGGACACATCTATGGGCCCACATGCTTAGATTAAAACTAAAAGGGTAGATACGGTACGCTTATACTTGCATCAAACAAAAACTGATCCCACGGCAGCGCGAACGGGACGGCGAGATCCGCGTCACTGCATTACCGACCAATCACGCGACCAATACTCGACGTCACTACCGAATAAGATTCAAAACAAACAGCAATTTTTATGAAACAATATATTTTATAGTACTTACGAATGAAAAATGATGCCGTGGGTTTTATTTTGAGCAATTTAAGCACTTTTAATAAAAACACACTTAGGCATTGTTTTATCATATAAACACAAAATATTAGCAATATTTCTTTTTGGCGTTCACATGAACGTCGTTTGCATGTCAAGTTGTGACTAAAGCGATTAGGGTCGTAGGCCACAATTGGTGCGGGTCACTTTTGTCAGACTAGTGCCGTATCTACCCTTTTTGTTTTAATCTGAGCCCACATAGCTAGACCCGTCCTCATACTGAGGCACAGCGCCCGCCAACAACTCAGGCAGCTGGCTGACGCGGGGCTATCGGACTTCGACTTCGATCGGATCCTGCACGCGGTGAATATCACTCCGACACTCCCGGACGCGTCTATCGGCCCGCATGCTTAGATTAAAACTAAAAGGGTAGATACGGTACTGTAACGTCCGTGACGTTACAGCCTCCTTGTTTAGGTAAACTCTTCGCTTTTGCAATGCCTACGGTTGGCAGTTATATTAAAAAGTTAATGTCATGATTTTAAGATTTGAAATAAGGAATCGTCTGTCTTTCGATAGAAGGTTCCATAGAAGAGAAGATGTTCAGGCACCAAGCAAACCTCTCGTAGTTAGATAAAAATAATTATATTCGCCTGAAATCTAATATAAAATAATAACCATCGTCAAGTTGTTTTAATTAATCGCTACGTCCCCAGGTTCTATCCACTCTGGCTAGAGCTCCTCAGTACTGAGGAATTCTAGCCAGAATGGATAAAACTCAGGGGCGTAGGAATTTATTGAAACGACTTGACGATGGTTATTATTTTATATTAGCTTTCAGGCGAATACGATTATTTTTATCTAAGCTACGCAAGGGTTGGTGCCCGAAGATCGTCTCTTGTATGGAACCTTCTATCGAAAGACAGACGATTCCTTATTTCAAATCTTAAAATCATGAAATTAACTTTTTAATGTAACTGCCAACCGTAGGCATTGCAAGAGCGAAGAGTTTACCTAAACAAGGAGGCACTAACGTAACGGACGTTACGGTACGCTCATACTTGCATCGAACAAAAACTGATCCCACGGCAGCGCGAACGGGACGGCGAGATCCGCGTCACTGCATTACCGACCCGAGCGAAACAGCACGTTAAGTTTCAACGGCAGCGCGAACGAGACGGCGAGATCCGCGTCACTGCAATACCGACCAATCACGCGACCAGTACTCGACGTCACTACCGAATAAGATTCAAAACAAACAGCAATTTTTATGAAAAAATATATTTTATAGTACTTACGAATGAAAAGTGATGCCGTGGGTTTTATTTTAAGTTCTTGAGCAATTTGAGCACTTTTTGAAAACACACTTAGGAATTGTTTTATCATATAAACACAAAATATTATCAATATTTCTTTTTGACGTTCACATGTACGTCGTTTGCATGTCAAGTTGTGACTAAAGCGATTAGGGTCGTGGACCACAATTGGTGCGGGTCACTTTTGTGAGGCTAGTGCCGTATCTACTCTTTTTGTTTTAATCTAAGCCCACATAGCTAGACCCGTCCTCATACTGAGGCACAGCGCCCGCACACAGCTCAGACAGCTGGCTGATGCGGGGCTCTCGGACTTCGACTTCGATCGGATCTTGCACGCGGTAAATATCACTCCGACACTCCCGGACTCATCAACTCAAACTCAAACTATTTTTTTTTGGAGTTTACTCCTTAAGAATCGATTTGCATATATAAGGGGCCCGGTATGAGAAAAATGTAAGGAGTAAAATCTATCGATTAATGACTTCGTTACGTTTTTGTGCGCAATCTCATCTGCGCACCTTTCACTTTTAGCCATGGCAACGGATAAAAAACATTAAGTTGTCACAAATGTCAATAAAATAAATAAACTAAAAATAGATAAAATCGGAGCAAAATTAATGAAAACAAGTAAATAACAGAATATAGAGAAATCCCGGTAAGTGTCCAGCACTCTGGAAAAGTGATTTTCAGTACAGATGGAATTATAATACATATTTACAAAATGATGACTAGTGTATGATATTTTTGAAATTGTGTGTTTCCAGAAATACATAATAAAATATATGATGAATATCGATGATGTTAGATGATAAAATGTGTGACATGGAACCTATGATAGTCGAAACCATGGGACGATTCCTGAGGTATCTCTACTTGTAACCGACTTCTTCGGACTTGATTTTGTTTTGTGTCTGTTCAGACAATCGTTTTTAGAGTGTAAACTCCGGTCGTGCGTCGGAGCTGACACACACATTTTTTTTAACTTACACACCAATTAGCCTAGCCCCAAAGTAAGCACTATAAGGCTTGTGTTATGTGATACTAGGGTAACGGATACAATACATATACTGTACATATATAAGTATATTTATATAGAAATACATATTAAACATCCATGACTGGAGTACAAATGCACGTATTCATCACAAAAACATCTGCCCCCACCGGGATTCGAACCCGGGACCTCTCAAGTCGGCGACACCATGAAACCCGGCGTACAAACCACTCGGCCACGGAGGTCGTCAAAGTCAAATTTAAAAAAAAATATTCAGTCTAGGCTATTACAGGCTCTTGTGAATGTCTAGAAGCTACGCCATCGGTTCGTAAATCTACGGCGGGAGACCTTGTACTGAGAAGAACCGGCAAGAAACTCAGCAAGGGCTATTTTTTTCTCTCTGTTTTGTTTGATACATCACATTAATATTATTACTTAATAAAAGTTAAGTGTAACTAGGTACTACTTTTAAATTAAGAAGTGGCGATTAAACAATTTTCAGTCAAATTAGCAAAGTAAAACAACTTAGTCTATTATTAACAGTATAGTAACCTTTTTTAAGGAGACATGTTTTTATACACACTTTAAACTTATTAAAAGGTAAATCAATTATTTAATCTATTATTATATCTATCTACCCACTTAATGCTATAAATTTCAACCGTCTGTACAACGATATCAAATACCCTTGATACAACAATACGAACAAAATCGTGGCCGAAACCTGTCCAAAAGGTACATTGGACGATCCACGGAGGTCCGGAAGATGATCGCGTTGTCAAAAACAATATAAGGCATTATTTAAACACTGAAAGTCACCTTTTTAATGTATACTGTATAAAGTCTTAATTAAAACGCATGTGATAGTATGAAAATAATTTAATAAATATGTATTAATAATACAACG